TTCTTTTAGTATCTGGAGAAATTGGGGGATTTTGCTTTTCTTGACATATAAAACATTATGTATGTGGGTAAAATGAGTAGTTCTCTCTCTCTCTTTATCTTTCTTTTTAAGTTTCTTTCTTTTCTTCATGGGTGAGAGGAGAGATAGACAGGAACCCTCAGCAGGATGGCAGGGATTCCCTACCACCTCCCGCTCTTTTCAGCCAGTCAGTCAGTATCATGCACTTATAACCTGGCACGTGTAAGTTAACCCGGAAACCGGTCTTTCATATGACCTTGGTCTAGCTTCACAGAGCATTGGCTTACTGCTGTGCCACTGTGGCTGGGCCAGTATCTCTGGTTGTTTGCTGACAACCTCTCCCGTGAGGCCCAGCTCCTTCTACCATTTCTTTGGCTTGCAACCTCTCCCGTGAGGCCCAGCTCCTTCTACCGGTTCTTTGGGTTGCAGAGAGTCAGTGGGTTGATATGATGATTTTAGTAGTAGTTTTTTTTAAACTCAGTCCTTCATTCTGTTGCCATATATAAAACATATGCAGTATTAAGTAGAACAATACATACACATGACATGGATCTTCCATTTGTGTTCTATGCCAGGCACTGATCATTATTTTACAAATGAAGAAACCACATCAGTAAGGTAAACATGATTTTCCCAAGGTCACAGAGCTAAGCTGTCTAAGTAGGAGAGATAAGACTTATATCCATTGGTGGTATTTTAAGTTAATAGAGTGATTTATTTACTAATTTATTTTTACATTAAAGTCCACTCTGTGGTTGTACATTCTATGGTTTCTGATGAACGTATAATGACTCACGTCCACCATTATAGCATCATACAGAGTAGTTTCACTGCCCTAAAAGTCCCCTATGCACCTCTTATTCATCCTTCTCATCCTCAACTCCTGGTAATCACTGATTTTTTTGCCTCCCTAGTTTTTCTTTTTCTAAATGTCATATAATTAGAATCACCAATATGTAGCCTTTTTAGATTGGCTTCTTTCAGATAATAATACTCGTTAAAGATTCCTCCATGTATTTTTTAAAAAGAATTATCAATATAATTTAAAATTATTATTATTATTATTATTTGAGAGATTTTTTGCTATAGGGTGTGTGCACTCACTAGAAAGACAGAGAGAGACAGAAAGTGAGAAATCACCCCCCCCAGGGGGGTTGGCCATGCCGCAATCCCTTCTCCTCCATTCTCCTCTTGGGATCTTGGGCATACATGCACACGCACCTGGTATAAGTTTAAGCTATCAGATCTGGTACTTGAATCACGGTCGACTACATGGGAGTCCAGTAACATAGCCATTACGCCAACTGCTGGTCCCTAAAATTACTATTATTAATTTAGTATTGGGATGTGCACTCTAGATAGAGACAGAGAGAGAGAGAGAGACAGAGACAGATAGACAGACAGACAACAGGAAAGTGAGAAAAAAACCCCTTCAGGTCCAGGACTTGAGCCATGGTTAGCCATGTGGGAATCCACCTGTTGGCCCCAGCCCTCCATAATTTTTTACAGCTTGATATCTCGTTTCTTTTTAGTGTGGAATAATGTTCCACTGTCTGAACGCACCATGCTTTATTTGTCCATTCATTTGCTGGAGGATATTTTGTTGTTTTCATATTTTGGCAAATTATCAACGAATCCACTATTACAGCTGTGGGAATAAAGTGATTTTAAATATTTGCTATGGGAATACAGAAACCAAAAATCAGGGACTTGATTTAGGCCTTGAAAATGATAAAATTTAGATGGGCAGAGACAGATGGAAGAGGGACAGTCTTGGTAGAGAGAACTAAGGAAGCAAGCATCTTACGTGCCACACAAATTACTGGTACTTTAAGTTACTCAATTAAACTTCATGTCATCTCCTGGAACAGTCCAATAATAGTTTTATGCTGTATTTTTACATGTATGACAGCTAACACCAAAAAGTGGTAAATAACTATCCTTAACTCACAAAATTAGAGACATCACAGTTTGAACTGACTCATGTCTCAATGCCTATGCTCTTGGTTTTGTTTCACTAGGCTCTCCCTCCAAGGGAAAGAAGATTAGAGCAAATAGTTGGCTAGATCTTGAGATGCAGAAGGATATATATGGTAATAAATCTTGACAAGGAGGTTGGACTCAGGCCATGGAGGGGCTTGACTTGGGCACTGAAGGGTGTCTCTGGGCAGTATGGTAATCAGTGTGAGGTTATCAGGTGTGGAGGTTGGAAAATGGTGGAAGGGCAGGGAGTAAGAAGAAGGACTTTTTTTTTTTTTGTATTTTACATTATATTAACCTGATATCATTGATACTTGTCAGAGACTTCTGTGATTATGTATATCTTGTTTTTAAAAATAATTATTTTTTATGATGATGATGATAATGATGATTTAATTTGACCAGAGACAGAGAGAGAGGGAAGGTGAGACAGCAGGCCACCAGGTCCGGGACCCAAACTATGGTCAGCCATGTGAAAGTCCAGTGCCTTAACTATCATGCCACCTGAAAGCCCCCATGATTACACATATTTCTATCCTTAGGTGATCTTTGGAAGATCAGGATACCTAAGTCTGGAGTCCCAGTAGCTTGTTTTGGAGCAAGTTGATCTACTGGACACCAGAATCTGTTGGGGATGAAGTCATACTTTCCTTGCCACTTCTTAGTATCTTGGCCCTAGAGTATATCTGCTTGGTCACTACCACCTACTTCATAAGGGCTCTTAAAAAAGTTGCAAAATTGGTTTACTTCGAAGAAGCCTTTTACAGATTTTCATGAAGTCAATCAAAATAATCCAATCACAAGGGCTCTGAGATGAGGGAGTTTAAATTTGGCGATGAATATTCTTTAAAATCTTTTATTGACTTAAAAATTGCAATGTTGAAATCTAAATAATGGAAAGTAAGCACTGAAAGGGATACCTGAGGTCTTGAGATGATTTTTAAAGGTGAGAAACTTGATTCTGAAATGTGCCCGAGATGGCAGGGTACCTGATGCCTAGCATGAGGCCCCGGGTTGGCTGCATGCTGAGTTCTGTGCCATTGGTGCTGTCTGTAGGTGGCTTCTGACTCTAACAGGTAGCAGCTCTCACTGGCACCAAGTGGCCCAGACAGCAGTGGGGTATTTATTTATCCAGGGCATTGTGGTGGAAGATCATAAGCATTTTAAGAGATCTTCTTCCAGAGTACTGCTTTAAGCACAAAGAACACTAAGTCAACACCACAAACAGTACACAGAGGGAAAGGAGCCAAAGACTCCCATTTCTACCCATATCAACAGCATTCTCCATGTGCACGGGACATTGAGGTATTAATGCTCCTGAGGCCCAGCAGGGATCAGAAGTGTTCTCCTTTCTTCCTACACTGCCTGTTGATTTCAGCTTCAAAGGGGTTGCGATCATGCTTACAATGGAGGTAGGAGATTCCTTGCCTTGTGGGCAGCCCCAGTGGAATCTGCTTAACAGAGTCCGTTAATGTGCCAGGAGAGTGGGAAGCTGGGATTCCACTACTCAGGGTGCAAAAACAAAACCCTCCCCACACCTTTGATCAGGACATCATTCCAAAAATAAACTTGTGGAAAGAACTGTTGCTTTTGGCAGACACAAGAACCTTTTTTTTTTCTTCTTATTTTTACTATGTAATAAGAACAGACGATACAAAAAAAAAAAAAAAAAAAAAGCAGGCTGTGAAAAGTGAGGGTTTCCCCAGCTCCTGACCTCAAGCTTCCAATTCCTTTTTCCAGAAGCAACATTTGCAACCAACTTTCTTGTGTGTTCTTTCAGATACATTTAATACTAATAAAGTAGTAATTTTTAAAACCAATAGCAACATACTTCATGTATGATTCTGCCCTTTGTTCTTTTCACTGAATAGATCTTGAAGTTTCTCCATATTGAACTTCTTTCTTCTTTTAACTGTGAAATTACTGTAGGCATTTTACCTAACAGCCTTCTTTTTCTTTCTTTCTTTCTTTTTAATTTTTTTTTAGCTATAGGGTATGTGCTCTCACTGGAGACAGAGACAGAGAGAGAAAAAGTGAGAAATCACCACCAAGGGGCATGGCTTCCCTGCAATCCCATTCCTCCATTCTCCTCTCTTGGGATTTGGGGCATTCATGTATGTACATGCATCCAGCATGTTTTTAAGCCACTATGTCCAGTATTTGAACCACGGTCTCACCTAACCTCCATGCCATCTGCTGGCCCTCCACCAACCTTCTCTTCACTGTTTAATGTCTTTTCTTGTTGTGGACTACTAACTTGATTCAGTTAGGTTTTTCGAGTTGTTAAATTAAAGAGAAAGATTCAATATTATAAAAAAAGCAATATTACTTCAATGTCCTGTGCACATGGAGAATGTTGTTGATATGAGTAGAAATGGGCGTTTGGGCTCCTTCCCCTCTGTGTACTGTTTGTGGCGTTGACTTAGTGTTCTTTGTGCTTAAAGCAGTACTCTGGAAGAAGATCTCTTAAAAGTACTGAACTCTCCAAAATACTAAACTCAGAATGATTCAACAGTTTTATTGCCTGTGCTCTCTGAAAATAGGATGCTTTTACTCCTGTGTTGCATTAAGAGAACAAGCATGCAAGAAGTTTACAGAACCTATTCCCAGAGCATTCGGGGCATCTCTGGTCATGATGGATTATCCATGATGGGATCTCTATGACTGAATGGGCTCCTTAACAAGATGACTTTCAAGTATTCTATTATTGAAAACAGGAAATTGGGGCGCAGGGGGGCAAACTAACATACCAAAGAAGAGTTCAGCAGAAATTTGGACAGATTTCGGATGCTTGTATGAAAAAGCAGCATATTCTTAATTTAGTGTAACAGGTGTCAAAGCAAAGGAAGGTAGAACGTATGGGTCAAATCTTCATAGAAAAGCCAAGCTTTGATCAAATCTTTCTCTTGACTGGCGACTGTATTTCTGCCCCATTAGATAACGGCCCAATTCCATCTGTTCACTTTTTTCCCCTAAACATATATCTTTTTTTCCTCCCTCAGGTACCGCCTAAGTATCCTCCAGTTCAAAGTATCAAAGTAGAATATACCAGTAAGTATTGTCAAAAGTTTAATTGATCCATGTTTTTAAAATGGTCTTCTCTTCATATTTTTAATTTCCTTTAGGACACAGAGTCTCTGCATTAAATCCAGAATGGCTAGAGCCTGCACATTATTTTCATAAGGGACAAAGATAGTTACAAAGAGGAAAAGCAGAGTAATTAGTTACCAAATATGTGCTTGTCTTGGTACTAATTACTTTTTGTGTCTCACTTAACCATCCAGGAACTCTGGGTAGGAATTATTCTCACTTTTCAGTGAAAAAAACTAAGGTTTTACTCTTAGTAAGTCACATTATACCCTGCTAATTATATTCTGGATAAGATTACGGTCTTTTTCTTTTTCTTTTCTTTTCTTTTTTTTTTTGTTATAGGGCCTATGAGCTTGCTAGAGAGAGAAGAGAGAGAGAGAGAAAGAGAAAGAATCCAGCCCCCAGTGGGGATGGCCATGCCACAATCTTTTTTGGGATTTTGGGCACACACACATACACACACACACACACACACACACACACATGCTCCCCTGTGTTTTTCAAGTTGCTGGGTCTGGAACTCTACCCATGTAGTTGGTCATGTGGAATCACCATTACACCATTGCTTTAACCATTACACCACTGGCTGGTCCCAAGAGTACACTTTAATGAAAGCTGGGAGTGGTCTTGGATATGAAGAAAACGTGATACTTTGTCATGAGAGAGCATTCTTTAAGTTCATGATGAATACTAGGACAATCTTCAGTGGTTACTTCATGAATATTCTTTTGATATTAAATTCTCCTGAGCCTAAAGGGAAGTTCATACCTCTTGTCCTCAATAATTAGTTCTCAGGGGTCAGTAGGTGGTGTAGTAGTTAGGGCACTGGACTGCCACATGGCTGACCATGATTCAAGTCCCAGACCTGATGGCTTGCTTTCTCTCTCCGTGTCTCCCTCTGATAAGCATATGTGTCCTGTAGCCAATTAGAAAATAATAATAATGATAAATAAAAATTTAAAAATTGTCCTCATTTACAATCCCAAGTATGCTTCCTTGTTCTGGAACAAAGTAAAAAGTACTGAACTGTGACCAGGAATGAAAACCTATTATTTCCTGTCATCAAGATACATGGGGTAAAATAGGGTATCTACGACATGATTTGTTAGATGCTCAAGATGGATATTAAACCAATATGGAAATAAAATAAATTTAGGCTTTTTGGCTCACACTTGGAATGGCCCTAAAAAGCTACCAATACTAGGGACCAGATGTTAGCGTAATGGCTGTGTCGCTGGACTCCCATGTAGTTGACCGTGGTTTGCGTCCCGGACTGGGTGGCTTAAAACTCAGGCCGTGCATGTGTGCATGCATGCCCAAGATCCTGAGAGGAGAATACAGGAGAAAGGATTGTGGCGTGGCCATCTCCCCTGGGGGGGGGATTTCTCGCTTTCTGCCTGTCTGTCTGTCCTTCTC